TTGGCCAGGGTACTGCTTTTGAGTCATTTTCTATGGATCACATGGTTCATACATCCCCACTCTCACCCGTTAAAATGATAGCAGTTAGTTTTTTCAGGAATCTATGAGCCAGTTTTTCTTGGAATGTTGGTACACCTAAAGGAGTAAGAAACCTGGGGAAAATTCTGTAAGTTCCTTCAGGTTGTTAACAGACTAATTGATGAATGAGTGAATAAATTAGGACTTTGTCGATGTAACCTGCTCCAGACATATTCACAAGTTCCCAGAACTCTTAAGAGCAAAGCTTCGTATTAAATAACTTTTGTTTCACAGTGTTAACCTTTGAAATTAAAAAATACTGGAGTTCCTCAGGGGCCTCGTCTCTTATTCAGTACTGTATCACTGCATTTAGCCTAGTACCTAGCACATAGTAGTCACTCTGTAAATATTTGTTCAATTGAAAAATAAATTGAAGTAGTTCCTGGAAGTATGGGAGATATCTATATTTGAGATGAGACACAAATTTATTTCTCACTGGAGAGTCCTTGGAAAAGTCTCCATTCATGTTAATGCTAAGGAATACAGTGATCACAAATGCTTGAATAACCAGTAATAAAATATACTATAAAGCTGCTAAATTAAAATAGTGTGGTATTGGTGCACAAACAAACCAGTGTAGCTGGTTTTTTATATTTAGCTACTTACTTTTTTTAGAGCTACTTAAAACCAGTTGATACTATACTGGCATTACCTAAGGGTTCTTCTTTCCCTATGAATTAGTTTTCTATCACTTTGTAACAAATTACCACAAATAACACCCCTTTATTAGCTCACAGTTCTATAGGTCAGTAGTCCGGGATGGTATGGCTGGGTTCTCTACTCAAGGTCTCACAAGGCTGAAACCAACATGTCAGCCAGCTGCATTCTCATGGAGCTTGAGGTTCCCTTCCAAACTCATTTCTGCTATCAGCGCAGAATTCAGTTCTTTGTGGTTGTAAGACTAAAGTTCCCATTTTGTTGCTGGCTGCTGGCCAGGTTGCTCTCAGCTCCTAAAGACTGCTCTAATCACCTTTCCCTGTGTCCTTCTCCCATCTTCAAGCCAGCAACAGCATGTTGAATCCTTCTCATGCTGCAAATCTCTGACTTCCTGTTATGCAACTTTCTGCTTTTAAAGGGCTCACGTGATTAGGTCAGGAACACCCAGAAAATCTCCGAATCTTGAGGCCATCTGATTTGGAACTTTAATTAAATTTGCAAAATCCCCTTCACATCAGTACCTGGCTTAATAGTGTGATTGAATAAACCCGGGGCTGAGAATCTTGGTGTGTGTCTTAGAAATCTGCCTACCACATCCTGAATCTACACCTATGCTGTATATTATACTCCTTTCTAATTTTTGTCAACCTGGTATAGCTAATGAATTCTTCTTAAAATGACTCATTTTAATTTGCATTTCTCTAATTCATGGTGGATTTGAGTGTTTCTTCATATATCTTAGCCATTTGAATTTTCCTTTCTGTAAAGCTACTTTTCATATCCCTTGCCCGGTTGAGGCGAAGCTTATTTCCCCTTTTTTGTTTCCTGGCAGGAGGTCCTTGTATATTCTCTCGATGAATCACTTGTCAATTTTAGATGTTGAAAATATTTTATTCTTAAACTGTCGTTCTTCTGCTAACTTTGCCTGTATCTTCCTTTATTAAATAGAAATCCTTAATTTTAATGTAGTTGAATTTTTCAGTTTTTCAGTTTCTCATTTGCAAGTTGGGGATCTTGTTAAATAAATCCTTACCCACTGGCAAAGTCACAAAGTTAGATGCTTAATGCATATATATATTTTTTTTTTTTTTTAATTTGTGTGTGTGTGTGTTGAGAGGAAGATTGGCTCTGAGCTAACATCTCTACCTATCTTCCTCTATTTTGTGTGTGGGACACCCCCACAGCGTGGCTTGAGCTGTGTGTTGGTCCGCGCCTGGGATTCAAACCTGCTAACCCCAGGCCGCTGAAGCGGAGCGTGAGACCTTAACCACTACGCCACCGGGCCGGCCCCAATTCATAAATTTTTTTCTTTCTTCATTACTAACAGCAGTATTTAAGATTTCGAATCTTAAATTTGCAATCCTATGTTAGTAGTTTTTGACCCTGTCATATCTGATAATTACTTGTCTGTATATGCTTTTTTTTTTTTTTTTAAAGATTTATTTATTTATTTTCCCCCCAAAGCCCCAGTAGATAGTTGTATGTCATAGTTGCACAGCCTTCTAGTTGCCGTATGTGGGATGCAGCCTCAGCGTGGCCAGAGAAGCGGTGCGCCGGTTTGCGCCCGGGATCCGAACCCAGGCAGCCAGCATCAGAGAGCACACACTTAACCGCTAAGCCACAGGGCCGGCCCTGTATATGCTTTTTTAAAAATTGAGGTGAAATTCATATAACATAAAATTAACCATTTCAGTAGCACTTAGTACATTTTCAGTTTTGCACAACTATCACCTCTGTCAAGTTCCAAAACCTTTTTATTATCCCAAAAGAAAACCCCATGCCCATTAAGTAGTCACTTCCCATTTCCCCTTCCCCCTAGACCGTGGCTCTCACCAATCAGTCTTTATGGATTTACCTATTCTAGATATTTCATATAAATGGGATCCTACAATATGTGGCCTTTTATGTCTTTTTTTTTTTTCACTTAGCATAATGTTTTCATGGTTTATCCGTGTTTTACCATATATAAGTACTTCATTCCATCTTATGGCTGAATATTCTGTTGTGTGTATATATTACATTTTGTTTATCCGTTTATCTGTTGATGGACATTTGAGTTGTTTCCACCTTTGGCTGTTGTGAATAGTGCTGTTATAAACATTAATGTACAAGCATTTATTTGAGTACCTGGTTTTAATTCTTTTAAGTCTTTACCTAGGCGTAGAATTGGTAGATTGTATAGTAATTCTTGTTTATCTTTTAAAGGAACCATCAAACTGTTTTTCCCAAGTAACTGCATCATTTCTAGTTTCATTCCACTATGGTCAAAGAAGATAATTTGTATGATTTCAGTCTTTTTAAATTTATTGAGACTTGTTTTATGTCCTAGCATGTGGTCTATCCTAGACAGTGTTCCATGTGCACCTGAGAAGAATGTGCAGTCAGCTCTTGTTGGGTGGACTTGGCCATTTTTAAGTTTCCTCTTTCTTGATTCAGCATTCATTTGGTTGCTATAAACCTTTGACTATTTTCTAGACTTCCCACAGTTGATTCTGACAGTTTTTACTCATTATTTTCAGTTTTTCTGTGGAGGGACAGGCCTTCACAGCTACCTGTCCCACCATTTTTGCTGACGTCACTCTCAGCAATTACTTTTTAAAACAAATATTTTGTAATGTCTGTTTAATATCCAGAAATAAAATTTATAGGTAATATAACTTAATACATGGAGAAATTTTTAAAAATCAGTGTCATGCGTTAATTGTAATATAAAGGAGAAATAAAAGGAAGTAATTTATGAAAAAGTAGTATGAATTTCAGTATGTTATGCTTTCATATGACATTAGACAAAGCGTAAAGAAGTAGGGATATGTTTATACCTATTTAACTAAGTTGGATTTAAGAGATGTAAGAAGATCAGGTTCCATTTTGTACAAAGGCTAATAAATGAAAGACTAAAGTCTAGTCATAAAGACTAGACTTATTTATATGTACAGAGAATGAGAGAAAACACTTTAAGAGAAGTCAGGATAAAACACCAATACAAATTATAGACTAAAGAAGTGACAGAAAGGGAAAAGTGTAATATTATTGTAAATGTGCTGGGCCTTATTTGAAAAGTAATTATGTAGTAAATAGTGAAGAAATATCAGAGAACATATCTTTTATTTTGAAATTCTGACAGATCAGATCAATTAGTTTAGTCTTGAGTAAAGTACTTGGAAACAGTATCCTTTCAGTGATAATGGGATTCAAAGATGGATTTTAAAAAAGCGATGATAGGACATTTGGACCAGTATCAAAGTAAGTTTAAAAAATAATAGGCAATTACAAAATAAATGAATGATTTCAATTGGTAAGTTTTACAGTAGATTTCTCATTCATATACATACACCAATACATAATATGCAATATTTTTAGAACAACCAATGGAATTAAATAAGATGCCTTCATTTCATTTGTTTCTGTAATTCAGTATTTGGTACTGTTAAAAAAAGGAGTGTTACATCTTCTATTGAATATTTAAAATTGGCTGTGTTGCTTTTACAGTAACTGTACCATCACACTAAAACATTTTCAAATAAATGCACAATTTGAAATATAAGAATAAATTAGCTTCCTTCCAAAAAAGAGTATAATAACCGTAACTGTTCTAGCCAGAAGCTTTCTTAATTATGCTATTTAAATTGTGTTTGGCCTCCAAATAATTTTTTTTGCTTACTTGTTATGAATGTTGACTGGCTTGTTTCCTGCCCTTTTCAAATAGTGTAAGCACCCTATCTATAGTGTAAGTTTAAAAAAATCTTTAAATCTAATTGTTCATAATGATAGAGTCCTGTTCTTACCTCCGAGTTGTGGTGAAAATTAAATGAAATAATATGTTTAAAAGTTTATAAAAATCTGTATTAAAAGTATTATTATTAATAATAACAACATGACAACACATGTTCTAAAGTCTATTTTCTTGAGAAAATTAAATCTCAATTATGGGTCAAAATTTTAAGAGATTATGTAATTCTCGACATTTAAAATTTTTAATTCATAAAATCTTTTTTATGGAAAAGTGTATTTTGTGACAAAAGTACTTTGTCCATTGGTTGTCTTATGTTTTGAAAACATGGAACAAAATTCCTTGACCTTAGCACTTGCCAAGCAGGCATTTTCTCTTTTAGGTGTGTACTGAGAACTGCCTTTATTTTTGTGAGATGACCTGTCCTCACATATGTTTAATTGCATTATGGTTTTTAGTTGTGGTGCATATGTGACTGTGAAAAGCAGAGCAAAATATGTAATAGCTTTTTGTGGCTTGTGGTTTTCATTTGCAGCCTTCAAGCAAAATAAGGTTACCTGAGGAGAATTTCTTCAGTGTTCCTGCTTTCTTAACTGTCTCGGGACAACTTCACCTAGAAGTGATGTCAGGGTACAGAATTTTCTTTTCTCTTCTGCTTTAATGGGCTACTGATTATGAGCTGGGTGAGATGATATTATGCTTCCTTTCCCAATGCTAAAACCTGAAAATTGAAATTCATGTTTATGATTAGTCCACTTGAATTCACCAAAAGTATGTTAAGATTGACAATTTGACAATATCCAATTTTTTTACTAAAAAAAATCACATTAATTTAGACTTTTGTTTTTAATGAAAAATGTAACACTGGAAATAGGAAGTTGTGATTTTTTTCTTTTTACTAATCTTTTTTTGCTTGATATGTAATCAAGATTTAAGTATAATTAATCATGTTTATGAAAGTAAAAGTAGTTATAGTTTATACCTGAACCAGGTATTAGCCTATAACATTGGAAAGAGAGAGGTACCTGGAACAGATGGAAGAAAAATTTTTTTAATAATTGGTTTAACTTAAAAAAATTAACCCACAGCGCCATCATGAGAGGTGTGTGACAAATTGGAGAGTCTTAGAAGTCAGATTGCATTAACTTGAGCCCCTCTCAGACCTCTGAAAAGTCACCTTACTCCTTTTGGCCCAGCTTTCCTTTTCTTTAACACAGACGATTGGGCAGGAAGATCTCTAAAGTCCTGTCTAAATCTTATATTCTATGATTCTGTGGGTAATTTCTTAATGCTAACTCAACAAGTACTGAGTTTTCTTTATGTATCTTTGTTTTCTCATACCGAGATTGAGACTTAAAAATCTCTTCAGGAAATGGCTGCAGTGAAAACAAGGGAATCTCTATGTGTTTCCCATTGTTTTTAACATGCACAGGTGGGAAAACTCAAGAGAAATATAATAGAATAGTGTTCATGTTTATTTTTTCAGGTACTTTACTGGCAGGATGGAATGTCAATGGTGAAATAAAGATGGTCTTGAAAATAACATATGCTTTACTTAGATTCTTTTCTCATTTATCTTTGAGACAGAAAGATGTTATTTGATAATTCCAATAACCAAATCATTGACAATATTATCAAAATAACTGTGCAGAAAAACTATCATCATAATAGCCCTGTGAGATTGTAGGATTTGCAGAGCTATATGGGGGAAAGGCCATGTCAGGCATTTCATGGAAAGTTCCTTATGCCTGTCAAAGTATAACTTTAAAAAATTAAAAACATGACTCATACAAATATTAAGTGAACATGTATCAAATATTTTATTCAACTCATTAATTACTGAGGGAACAAGTAAAATAGTAAGGCTAATTCAAGGAGTATATGAGGAGCTGTGTATTCATATGCAATTCAGTAAAGGAATTATAGAATAAGATTGCTAGGTTACAAACTGGTTAATGTCCTACAGACCAATAAACCCTAACCTTTGAAATTTTCTCTTCGACCTGACAGAAATGATTTGCAGCTCTACTGAAGAAAAGTCTGCAAGTTAACATGTAACTTGACTTAATCTGGGATATTTAATTCAATAGTAAATAGAATAATACCGCAAAGTACATTCCCCTAAGTAATTAAATAACCTTTGAAGGTTTCTGTGTCTCCGTATCACATTGAAAGGACATGCTGTCTACATTTTGGTCTTACATCCATGTTTTGGATAACATTTCTTAACACTCTTTCAATATTCGTTTCTTTTATCTCTAAAGTTAGAGGCAAGATATCTTCCCCTCAGAAGTGTCATAACACGTGAAAGGTGTGAACTTACCAAACGTTTGTTTCTCTATCACGATGCCACTGGTGGATTACATATGTTCCCTCTTTCCCAGTAAAGTGCAGTGAACCACAGAACACAGTGCACAGTGAAACTTGACAGAAGATTAAATTGGTAAAATATGAGGTTTTGTATTTTTTAATGTTATGAAGTATTTCTAATGTTAGTCAAGTGTTCCTAGTTTAACCGCATAGTTCTAGGACTATTAATATACAGTACATCATGTTTCAGATTAATGCATGATTTAATCTCCAGTAAGAAATTGTTATTCTTCTTTCCCTCTGCTTTGTTTTTCTTTAATTTTATTTAACAGACTTTTAAAATGGAGTAAATGGTAGTTAAATTTAGAAGGTTAACATTTTCCAAAAAGATATCTATGTTGGTTTAGTGGAATTATGGCTCCATTTTAAAGTTTAATTTTGTTGTTGTTGTTTTTAAATAATAGAAAAGTTGCAAAGATAGTGCCAACTTTTTGTATACCTCTCACCCAGTTTCCCCCATTGTTAACATCTCACATTACCATGGTACATTTGTCAAAACTAAGAACCCAATGTTAGTACATTACTATTAACTAAATTCCAGGCTTTATTTGGATTTCACCAGTTTTCCACCAATGCCTTCTTTCTTTTCTCAGGATCCAGTTCAGGGTACCACATTCTATTTATTTGTCATGTTTCCCCAGTCTCTTCTCATCTATGACAGTTTCTCAGTCTTTCCTTGTTTTTCATAACTTGTAGACTGTATCCCAGTCTGGATTTGTCTGATGTTTTTGTCATGATTAGACTGGAGTTACATGGGTTTTGGAAAGAGTACCACAGAGGCAAAGTGCTCTTCTCATCATATCGTATCAGGGAGCATGTGATATCCATATGGTGGTATTAACCTTCATTAGTGGATAAGGTAGTGTTTGCCAAGTTTCTCCACTGAAAATGTACTATTTCTTCTATCTCTACTCTGTTCTTTGGAAGTGAGTCGCTAAGTCTAGCCCATCCCCACTGGAGGGGTTGGAAGTGGCAGATGGAATTAGGCACCACTTGCTGGAGGGGGAGGTATTCAGAAATCTTCTTTATGGAAGATTTTTTGTCTCTTCACCCCTTATTTATTTATTTATGTAATCATTTATATCAAGATGGACTCGTATATTTATTTTATAGTTTGTGTTATACTTCAGTTCTATGTTATTTATTTTGTTGCTCAAACTGTGTTAGTTTTAGCTGTTGGAAACTCTTTCAGATTGACTCTTAGCTATTGGAAACTCGTTTAGATTGACTCTTGTATCCCTTTGACATGCTCCTATCCTTTTGCTTTTTGAGTACTTCCTTATTCTCCAGTATTGTGAGATACCCCTGATTTATGTATTTGTTTGTTTGGTTATTTAATTTATTTATTTTTACGATTGATGAACCTACACTGACACATTATTGTCACTCAACGTTTGTAGTTTACATTAGGGTTCACTCTTCATGGTGTACCTTCTGTAGGTTTGGACAAATGTATAATGACACGTATCCACCATTATAGTATGACACGAAATAGTTTCACTGCTCTAAAAACTAGTTCCTCTGTGCTCCTCCTCTTCATCCCTCCGTCCTGCCTAATGCCTGGCAACCCCTGATCTTTTTACTGTCTCCAAAGTTTTACCTTTTCCAGAATGTCATATAGTTGAAATCATACAGTATGTAGCCTTTTCAGACTGGCGTCTTTCACTTAATAATATGCATTTAAGGTTCCTCCATATCTTTTCATGGCTTGATAGCTCATTTCTTTTTAGCACTGAATAATATTCCATTATATGGATGTAACACAGTTTATTTATCCATTCACCTACTGAAGAACATCTTGGTTGCTTCCAAGTTTTGGCAGTTATCCCAGGCTTATTTTGTATTTTCCCTACCCTAGCCCTAGAATCAGCCATTTCTCCAAGAAGCCCTGCTTCCTTTTACTGGAAAATGGTATTTAGAGACCAAGATTTAGTCACTGGGTGTCCTGCTGCTGGGGGATTGTTGCTTCTAAGCCTTCTCAGTGGACACAGCTATAAACATGTTTTTTAAATAAGAGAAAGCTAAGTGTTTTCATTACATTCTGCCTATAAATATAATTTATAAGTGGGATGTTCGTTCTGAGAAAATTAGTAATGTTCTTAATTACAAAACCTGTAGTTAAGAAACGTCATGTAATAAAATTTTCTATTTCTTGTCAGTTAATGCCAGAATTGGAGGAAGGCTCAGCCTAAAGTATTTGAAAGAGTTCTTGACTATTACTGTTTTTCTTTTTTTGTTGGTTTTGTTTTGTTTTTTCTTTTGGTGTTTTGTTACAGGTGTTTTTGTCTTATTATGAATTTTTCTTAATAAGCTATGAAGTCAAGCATATTTCAGGATAAAACTGATGCTTTCCTCTTGAACATTGCTATCGAAGGTATATATTGATACTGCCTCTCTAGAGGAGAACTTTTTCACTCAGAATTTCATTTCTAGGAATTTTTCTTAAGGAAATGATCTGAGTACTCTGTAAAGATGTGTAAACAAAAATGTTGAAAGCAACTCTGGTTATACTAGTGAAAAATAACTAACAACCTAAATGTCCATTTAAGAAGATTGATTTACCCTCAGTATTCCAAGAAAATAGTCATCACCATTTACCATCTGGGCGTAATGGACCTTATTTTTTTTTTTAATAATTTTATTTATTTATTTTTCCCCCAAAGCCCCAGTAGATAGTTGTATGTCATAACTGCACATCCTTCTAGTTGCTGTATGTGGGACGCGGCCTCAGCATGGCCAGAGAAGCAGTGTGTCGGCGCACGCCTGGAATCCGAACCCGGGCCACCAGCAGCGGAGCACGCGCACTTAACCACTAAGCCACGGGGCCGGCCCCCTGGACCTTATTTTTAATAAATATTTTTAAGCCATCTTATGAATAAATTGCAGAAGTAAAAATAAAGGGATAGTGAAAATCAACTTTATTAGAATTTTAATAAGAATTTAAAACATAGCAAACTCGTATTTTTAAAAACTGCTTTATTGAGAGATAGTTTACTTACCATAAAATTCATCAGTTTAAAGTGTACAATTCAGTGGGTTTTAGTTTATTTTCACAGTTGTTCAAACATCACCATAATCTAATTGAAGAATATTTTTATCACCCAAAAAGAAACTTTTTCCCATTAACAGTCACTCCCCTTCCTCCCTCCTACCCTAGGCAACCACTGATCAATCTACTTTATGTCTTTATGGATTTGCCCATTCTGGATATTTCATATAAATGGAATCACACAATATATCATATTTTGTGACTGGCTTAG